AAAGAAATAATGACAATGAAAGCACTACACATAAAATTTCATGATATGATTTGAAGTGGCAAAGGAAAATTCATTGTATTAAACATAAAAATGAAAGAATAAAAATCAATACATTCAGCTCTGGCTGGAGTAGCTCAGTGGATTGAGCACGGGCTGCAAACCAAAGCATTGCAGGTTCAATTCCCAGTTAGGGAACATGCCTGGGTTGCAGGCCACGTCCCCAGTGGGGGCCACGGAGAGGCAACCACACATTGATGTTTCTCTCTCTCTCTCTTTCTTCCTCCCTTACCGTCTCTAAAAATAAATGAATAAAAATCTCTAAAAAAAATCAATACATTCATTTTCCATGGTAAAAATAACCTATAAAATAACAAGGTAAACAAAAAAAAGGGAAATAATAAAGATAAAAGTAGAGGAAGAGAATAGAAAACTAGATCTAAGTAATAATTCAAAATTTTGTAGTTTGTGAAAATATTAAAATAGATGAAGCACTATGTAACTTAAGAAAAAAGGGAGAAAGCACAAATATACAAAATGAGAAATGGCAAGGGAGAAATAACCATTTAAATAGAAAAAAATTTAAACTGCAAGCAATTACTTTGTAGCCCTCTTATCTAACAAATCTGAAAATCCACATGAAAGGGAAACTTTGCTGGAACAGTACAAATTACTAAAATTAACCCCCATAGAATTAGAAAGCTTAGACAGAACAATTTCCATAGATAAAACAGAGAAAATTACTAAGGAAATAAAACTTTATTCCAGGAAAAAGCATCAGGTCCAGATGATTTCACAGGGGAATTTTACCAAACCTTCCAATACCAGATAGCCTCCGTGCTTTAGAAATTCTTCCAGAGCCTGTATATCACACACAGAAAATACCAAACTTACAGAAACACCAACCATTCGCAGAAGACACACTAACCAAAGAGACTAAAAGGTACACCCTTTGAAGAAGTAGGAAACCCTGGAGGCATAGAATCTCAAAAACTAAAAAAGGACCCTTTCAAGAAGATGGCGCCCAAAGCGAAGAAGGAAGTCCTTGCCTCTCCCAAAGCCCAAGCCAAAGCAACCACTTTGAGGGCAAAGAACACAAAGCTGAAAGGCGTCCACAGCCACACACAAAGAAGACCTGCAGGAAGGCAAAAAATGCAATGCTGAAATGCATCCACAGCCACAAAAAAAAAGACCCCCAGGTCCCGCACGTTCTGACCGCACCTTCTGACCGCACCCAGCTTCAGCCCGCCAAAGACACTGCCGTGGCTCTGAAGACTGTCTAAATACCCTTGGAGGAGGGCCCCCAGGAGAAACAAGTTTGACCACTAAGCCATCATGAAGACTACCCCGCCCCCAAATATCTTAAAAAGACAGAAGACAGCCTGTGTTCATTGTGGATATCGAGGCCAACAAGCCGGAGATCTAACAGGCTGTGAAGAAGCTCTCAGACATCCACGTGGCCAAGGTCCACACCCTGATCAGGCCAGATAGAAGGCTATGTCCGACTGCCTCCGGACTATGATGCCTTGGTCACTGCCAACAAAATTGGGATCATCTAAACTGAGCCCAGCTGGCTAATTCTAAATATAAAAATTTTACAATGAAAAAAAAAAAGAAACTAAGGATGGAGGTGGAAGCGGGTATAAGGGAGATAAAAGGTAATGAAAAAAATAAAATAAATAATAAACTATTAAATTTTAAAAAAGGATGTTTCAAGAGAGCAGACTTTCATGTCAAAAGCTGCATAGAGACCCAATAAAAGGAATGAAAAATGTAAGCAGGAACAACTATAACAGCATAAACAATAAAAATATTGTTGTTGTTGTTTTTTTTTAAGAACGGAAAGCCCTGGCTGGTGTGGCTCAGCAGATTGAGCCACTGACTGTGAAGCAAAGGGCTGCCGGTTCGATTCGCAGTCAGGGCACATGCCTGGGTTGCACGCCAGGTCCCCAGTAAGGGTCGCGGGAGAGGCAACCACACATTGACGTTTCTCTCCCTCTCTTTCTCCCTCCTTCCCCCTCTCTAAAAAATAAATAAATAAAATCTTAAGAAAAGAAAAAGAAAAATGTGACCACACAGCTTCAGTCGAAGGTAAGGAAACTGAGAAAGCTAATTAACTCCTTCTAACAGTCTAGCTGGAAGGGGAGGAAATAAACTGGGTTGCTGCTGGATGATACGGGTCTAAGGGCGTAGCTTCGCTGTTGGTAAGGAGGGACTATACATGTCTGGCACTGAGGGTACATTGTAGAATGACAGTAATAATAGAGATGCCTCTAGGTCCAATTAGTTTAATGTTTCCTTGATTCCTTATTATCCCCTCCACATAATATAGTCAATTTCTCCCAGTGTTCCACATTTACATATTACCTTCTTCAATGGTCCAAACTAAATTTTTATTTTTATCAGCAGTCCCATTTTCTGTTAATTTGGCAAACAGTGACTGACTGGGGGCTAGGCATGCAAAGTTGCAAAAGACATAGTTTATTTCCTGGAGATGCTAAATCTTCAGTAGGTAACAAAGATCACAGGAGTGCCAGTACTAAGTGTGTTACAACTACTGTCTCATTTAATCCTCACATGCCTTTAAGGAAACTGGGATTACCTCCATTTCCTAGGCAAAGAAACCGAGCCTCAAAAAGATGAACCAATCTGCTCCAATGAAGGACCTGAAACTAAAGTCCAGGTTCTAACACTTCCCCACCTTTCAACTCTACCTTCAGAAAAATGACCCTGAAGGCACTGCTTGGTCATTTCACATATGCTTAGTCAGTAGAATTAGCCTTTAGCACACTCCGGAACAGTTGAATCCTGCATTACATCTAAAATTGCTGTCTAGATTCAGAAAGCAGCTTTTATGCCCTCTAACCTCCTGGACATTCTGTAACTTATAGGACACAAAGACTATGTTTTATTTACCTTGATTCCAAGGATTAAGTTTTATTTAGCTTTATTACATCTGTCCTCAGCTTTATATATAGTGCTTTTAAATATTTTCTCCAACATTTGTGTAAGTTCATTCATGCACCTAATTTTATAACTTTGATATCATTTTTAATAGAACCTGGGACAGCAGCATAAAAGTTCAAATTTAAGGAGTGAAAGAGTATGGGGACAAATTTGAATTTAGATATTTCCTTTAAAAAAATCAAGATACTTTTGTGCCCTGAAATTTTTACAAGATGACTATAATTAGCAGCCAAAGTATATTTAAATGTACTTTTTCATAAATGCCTCGTTTGACCCTTAAAACCATCCTGTAAGAAAGATAAGACAAATGCTCTCTAATGTCTAATTCAGAGTTGAGGAAAGAGTCCCTTAGGAAAAAAATTAGTGACTTGTGCAATGTAATCTGATACACTGGAATTCACGGAAGTCCTGACTTCAAATCTCCTACTCTGCAATGCTTTTGCCTCATCTAGATACTTTCTTTAGTAAAGTGGTAAATGTGGAATAAAAGATGAGAAACTGAACTGCTATCAACAAATAAGGATGGGGGAAGGATAGCTAGAGGAAACATCTGCACACGGTGGGAGAGAAATAGAAAGGGCTCAAGTGTTTAAATGTTGCCTTTAGCTAGGGTGTGGAGAAGGACACCTACAGATTGTTGGAGGTGCAAAACAGCACATCCTTTCCAGAGGGAAATTGAGCAATTCACAGAAACAGACCAACAATTCTATCATCTAGGAACCTACACTAAGAAAGTAATCATAGATATGCAGATTTACATTTCTCCAACAATGCATTTAAGTAATTAAAGACTGGGAACGGCCAACTAAATAAATTACTGAGGTCATACAAGGGTATGTAGTCAGAAAATAAAAAGGTTACCAAAGAGTATCCACTTTAGAGCAATACACACATTCATCACTGCAAAGAAAAGGGCTGGAGAAGTGTACACCGAGTGCAACCACATTCACAATTGTTATGCGGAACGGTTAAACAGTGTATCTTCTTTGTAATTGTATATTTCAGGGTTTCTAATAAGACGTTTTAAGGCTTCAGGGGGGTATGGAACAGGGGGACTTTCAAAAGAATATTTTAGTAGCCATTTTTAAAAAAACATTTTCAAAACGCATTAGTATATACCATTACCATTAAAATAGCACTGGATTGTAACGTTGCATACCGAAACTTGTTGTTAACCAATGCCACCTCAATTTAAAAAGTACCGTTGAAACATAAAGCACTCACGAATCCACACCCAAGCCCTATTCTTTTCAAATCCCAGTCTTTCATTCCTACCAGCTGGAATTCAGAAAAACGCTACAACAGTTGCCTCGCCAGAAGGCATTGAAAGTCTGAAAGACATTCCCCATTTCTACCTGTAGTTTTTACTTTGTTCCAGAAAAGAAAAGCATCACCTAAGGGGTAGCTCTTAACAGCACTTCGGCAGGAAAATATTTGGGAGGATAAGTTTCTCTCCCATTTCTTTCCCTCCCAAAGGACAATCCTGTCAGTGACTAGCCCAGTTTCCTAATACACACTAGAGAAGCACAGATGAAGCCGATTTTCAGTGTACGTTTCTAAAAAGACAAGTTTAACCCTCCAGGGTAAAGAGCAGCCTTCAGTACTCATTCTGGAGGAAGATGCTACAGCGCGGCAGGAGCGCCCCTGGAGAAGGACAAAGCGGGGGCTCCTCCGCTCGGGTCGCTCAGGCAACGCGATCGCGGCCGCATCAGAGACAAGGGCACCGTCCCCGGACACCGCTCCCCGAGTCCCCACGGCAGACGCTCCCAAGCACCGGGACCGCACACGGTCCAACGACCGGGGAGGACCGGAGCCGTGGCAGCAGGTGGCGGGATCGCCGAGCCTAAGAGAAGACACCAGTCCAACGGCCAGATGTGGTGGCAGGGAAAAACGGTCGCCCGGCAGTCCGAGTCCGACCGCGGCATCCTCTCAGCTGCCTCACCCGCCATCCCAAGAACCGCCCCTCCCGGGCGACTGACACGCCCTCCCCGTGAGTCGGAGCCTCCACGCCCCCTCCGCCCTGCTAGGCTGCTCACCGGTCCCCGAGATCCAGGTAGCCGCCGCCGCCGCCGCCGCCCACTGAGGCCTCGCCCTTACCACAGCAACCGCATTCAGCAGCAGCTGTACCACTAGCCGGGCCCTGAAACCGGAACGACTTCCTTCCGCAACTGCCGCGCCCCGCCCTGGCCCCGCCCACTCCCCGAGACTTTGCGCTGGGCTGCCTCTCGCAACCCCTGCTCTCACGGCTCCCTCAGCCGTTGTGACCCTCCCACGCCGCTCCGGCCCCCGGCGCCTGCGCCCTCTGCCGTTCTGTCCAGAGCGCGTGCGCCGCCTGCCTCCCGGTCCGCTCCGAAGGAAGGATCGCCTCGGGCGTTGCAGGTGCAGGCATCCTAGGGGTTGAGGATTAGGGTCTGGAGCTCACCCTTCAGTCAGATACAGGAGCTTGGTCTTGTAGACCTTCCAGCCTTGTGCAAGTGGGAGCGCAGGAGGCCTTCCAGGCCCTGGGTTGGCCCTCAAAGCCCTTCCAGAACCATCCCACCTGCACGTGCATCCCTGTGGCTTCTCTCTCTGCCTACTCAATCTGTAAACATTCCCCACGGCCTCAAATTAAACTTCTACCTGAAAAAAACAAAACCTCCCCTCTGGACCTCCCAATAGGTTACTGGTACCAACATCTCCCTACCACCAATTCAAAATACCGACTCACTTTTGTCTGCTGTCTTGATTTTTCTCCTACATTCCATCCACCAGCCCCAAAGGTAGTTATGTCCCTCCCTCTTGGAGCTTTCTCGCTTGCCACTTTGATATTCTTTTTACCTCTTTCAGGGTCCACCTCATCTGGTAGGACCACCTTTTACCTTCCCTGTCACTGTCATCTACTTAGTACAATAGTTTTCCTCTCCTTCTGAATTACTGCCATCATCCCGAAGAATCCAACACTCATTACTGAGCAGTGTTTCCTTAACTTCCCCAACCCAGATGACTTACTCTACTTTCTCCACCCATTCGCAGGCATGTGTTCTAGAAAGTCAAGACATTCATCACTTTATACTGCTCCATCTCTAAAACTTGAAGTTTACAAATCCCACTTATTTGGACTCACAATCCTCATCCTTGCAGTCCTGTCTCTCCCTGAGACCCAATTTACTTATTCTTCAAACTCCTCAGAGCTCTGACATACCCTGAGCCTTCTACTTGGCATAAGTCCATGGTCTTTGACTTCAACCACTTTTATAAGCAGGGCCCCTTGAATGGCCCTATCACACATCGTAACATCAAACCACCATCTTAAAATACTCAAGTTATCTGCATTTTCCATTGCTACATCTATGTTTCCAAGCGCTGCTTGGGAGGAAAAAGCCAGGCAATTATAGTAGAACAGCGCCACACCAAATTTATAGACACCCGCCACAGCAGAGAGTCTTAGTGCCTCTCAGGAATCCTCTTTCATTTCCAGGGGTTACTGTTACTAACCTTTACCACTCATTCTCTTCATGTCCCACACCAATGATCATTTTCTCCTCTTCATACACAATTTTACTTCCTGCTTTGCAGGGAAAATTCCTCAGGATAGCATATAGGGCCCTTCATTACCTGTTTCCCACCTCTCTAGCCTCTCTCTGCCTTGTATTCAATGATTTGGCCGAGTGGAAATGTTTGCACTTTAAGAGGAATGCTACTTCTGTTTCCATTCGGTCGCCCATATTGTCCTTTCTGTGTGGTTAAGAGGTATGAGACCTTTTAATCTGCATATATATGGCTTCAGTTCAAGAATGTTTTCGTCCATTTTACTTACAAGAATTGTCTCAGGTCCATTCAATCTGGTCTCTCTTTTTAGGAAAAGCAGTTTGTGGTAGTTCTTATATATATATATATATTGTATATATATAAATATATATATATTTGGCCATTCTGGTAGACCTCAAATTTGCTTTTAATATTACTGATAAGGTTTCCCAAAGCATTATTTCTGCCTCTGTTTTTACTTAAATTCTATTATCGAGATTTTTGTTTCTTTGTGTAGGTTGCTCCCCCTGGCCCCCTTCAATTCATCCTAATGACTTTCCATCTCATCCTTTAATTTCCTTAAGAATTTCTCTTTTTTTTTCTCAAGATTTTCTTTTTATTTTCAGAGAGAGAGGAAAGGGAAAGAGAAAGAGGGGGAGAAACACGGATGTGCAACAGAAATATCAATTGGTTGCCTTTCGCCTGCCTCCAACCACCCTCCCCCAACCTGCACTGCAACCCAGGAATGCGCCCTGAGCAAGAAACGAACCCGTGGTCTTGTGTAATTTGCAGGCCAGTGCTCCATCCACTGAGTCATATCAGCCAAGGCTGTGTTCTGATTTTAAAGGTCTACCTTCTTGCAAAACCATACTAAACTGGTCATAAAATTCTTTTGGGTTTTATAGTCAATTATTTTTATATGTATGCCTATCTATTCCATGATTAGTTTTGTGCACTTAATTTTATATATTGACATCTTCGAACAAGGTGATCTTTGTTCAGACTTATTGGTTAACAGACAGCACAAATAAAATGTTCCTTGCCCTATTTGCTGTCTATTTGTGTGAACAGAAAGGTTAAGTAGTTAGTGCAAGGTCATGTGGGAGAGGAACAAATTTTCCTCTACCCTTCTAAGTTCTTTCTGCTGGTCTAACAATCAAATCCAATTGATATGGGACAGATTAACAGGAGAAAATAACCAAATTTAATTACATACATATGTATGGGAACCCCACATACAAGAGAGTCAGAGACAGAAGGGGAAAAAAGATATACATGGCATTCTGACGTACGGATGGGGTAAGATGCCTTAGGGCTTCAGAGGGGAGGAGGGTCATTCACAAGATGGTAAGAAGAGCAGATGTTTGGTAATTAGAAGTTTGCCCTGCCCTACACATAGGTCCAAAAAAAGGTTTGAACCTACACATAGGTTCAAAAAAAGAATCTGGTAATAATTCTTAAGAACAAGGCCCCAAATTTAAATTCTTTAAGGAAGAGATTAAAAGTTTCTTGTGAACCCTGACTGGTGTGGCTCAGTGAGTGGGGTTTTGTCTCACAAACTGAAAGATTGCTGGTTCAGTTTCCGGTCAGAGCACATGCCTGTGTTGCAGGCCAGGTCCCTGCTTGGGAGCATGCGATAAGCAACTGATAGATTGGGGGTGTCAAACTCATTTTCACTGGGGACCACATCAGCCTCATGATTGTCTTCAAAGGGCCAAATGTAGAGCTCCTTGATCCTACTTTGTGGGGGTTGCTCTGCCTACATTTATACAGTCCTAAAATTACATTTATACAGTCCTAGAATTACATTTTGGCCTTTTGAAGGCAACTACGAGGCTAATGTGGTCCCTGGTGAAAATGAGTTTGACACCCCTGCAATAGATGTTTCCCTCTCACATTGAGGTTTCTCTCCCTTTCTCCCTCCTTTCTCCCTCTCTAAAAATAAATAAAACCTTTATTTAAAAAAACAGTTTCTCATGAGCCTGGAGTATCTCTATTGCCTTTAACTCAAAATAATTAACATGCCCAAAATGACACATCTTGCGGAGGCCTGTTCTGAACTCCTTCACTTACATAGCTCTTGGTGTGTATATGAATAGCACACACACACCCATACACAGAACAAGCCTAAGAGAAATGGACTATTATCTGCCTTTCCATTTATTTTATTTTTCTTTGATTTTTCATGCAAAGCTAAATCTGCTATAGAATGCCAAGTATGCTTAATACAGGATTCTGTATTAGTAAGAATATATTATGCTACAATAGGGATCCCAAAATCTCACTGGCTTATAACAACAAATGTTTATTCCTCACTTACAGGTCCATCATGGGTCAGCTTTGGTTCTTCTGTCCGAGCCTCAGGCTGAAGGAATAGACCTTATCTGAGACATTACTGGTGTTATATCAGAAGAAAAGGAGCAGGGACTTCCAGGCAAGATGGAGGCATAGGTAGACGACACACTGCCTCCTCATGCAACCACAAAAAGAATTACAACTAAATCTCAAAATAACACTCAGAACCGTCAGAAAATTGAAATATACGGGAGTCTGCCAACCAAGAATTTAAAGAAGCCACATTCATCCAGACGGGTAAGAGAGGCGGAGACGCGGAGACTGGGCCAAGAGGTGAGGAGACGTGATGTGACACACAGAGGTGGGGGAGGCAGCGGAACGGTCACCGGCAGCCCCACATGCAAGTGTGGCAGATAAAAATCAGGAGGGATACCTTGGGAGTGAGCAATCCAGAGCCCCAGGCCAGACTGCACAGACCAGGCTTCCAGTGCCGGGAAGGTAAATCCTCATAACTTCTGAATGAAAAAACCAATTGGGATTGGGGAAGAAACTGCTGGGTTTTCAGGAAATTCTGCTTAAAGGGCCCGCATAGTCTTAAAACATATGCAAACCCACCCACTCTGGGATTCAACACCAGGGCAACAGCTGGAAGGGTGCCAGTTACATACGGAGAATGGGTGAAGTGACTGGAAATGAGGTGAGTGCCGGGCAAACCCCCAGAAGCCAGGCAGCATCACGGTCCCCCATCAGCCTTCCCCACACACAGAGCCACAGAGCCACAGAGCTACAAAGTGGTGAAGCAGTTTGCCCCACCCTGGTGATTAGCTAAGGCTCTACCCCACACAATTTACAGGTGCCTTTTACAGGAACTCAAAGCAGCGCCATCTAATTCACAGAAATAAACACAGGGAAGCTGCCAAATTGAGGACACAAAAGAATACAGCCCCAAAGAAAGAACAGAACAAACCCCCTGAAAGAGAACTAAACAAAAGGGAGATAAGCAATCTATCAGATTCAGAGTTCAAAACACTGGTGATCAGGATGCTCGAAGAACTCATTGAGAGTGGCAACCACATAAAGAAAGAAATGAAGATTATGCTAAGCGAAATAAAAATCTACAGGGAACCAACAGCGAAGGGGAGGAAGCCAGGATTCAAATCAACGATTTGGATCATAAGGATGAAATAAACATTCAACCACAACAGAAATAGAAAACAAGAATTTTTTAAAAAGAGGATAGTATAAGACTCTGGGACATCTCCAAATGTACCAACATCTAAATCATAAGGATGCCAGAAGGAGAAGAGGAAAAGCAAGAAATTGAAAACTTATTTGAAAAAATAATGAAAGAAAACTTCCCCAA